ACACACACACACACACACACACACACACACACACACACACACACACACACACACACACACACACACACAGCAAAGACTCTACTCAAGGTTATCCCAACATTTTTAATGATGATCATCCATCCAGTTCCATTGCCCGCTTCTTTTTTCCTCTTTTTTTTTGACAGACTGTGTTATTCCTGTTTGGAGCAGTGTGGAAAACAAGACAGGAGCAGCACCAAGCGACAGGAGGGCCAATAAAGCTGTCAGCATGTCCACAATGAAATACCTTTATCCAAGACCATGATTTCTTGCTTTCACATTCAGATATTACAATGCAAACTCTGCCCTCTGATCAAACAGACGACTGCTCGCGAGCATATTTGCTCTGCGCTTGCTCAGATCTACGATATACTGCTGCTTGCACAGATTTCCTGTGATCCAGTCTAATCCACCTTCTTGCATGAAAGGTGCTTGTTTGTTTATCAAACTTCTGGGTCCCAGTCACTACCTCTGCTCACTTTGTAAATTTAATAAAGTGACAGCCAGCTTAAGGGAAAAATAAATCAGCCAGCCTGCGAGTCAGTTCATTGTTTTATTCATTTGTCACTAGCAGTCTTGCTCATCTAATGAAAAGCTTGATTTAGTACATACAATAAGCCTACTATAGTGTGTTCTTCTAAATCAGCGGTCCCCAGCCTTTTTTGCGCTATGCACCGGTTTAATGTCAGACAATATTTTCACGGATGTGTCGCGGATAAATACAACAAAATAAAATGATACGACCAAGACAAAAACTGTGGTATTTTGTAAATATAATAATAAACGCGAATTCAGTGTGTAATTGTATAACTTTGTTAACAGCGTCCTCCTGAAATGCGCCAACAACATTGTGAGTAACGTCCTCCTCTCTGCCCCTTAACGCTTAACGTGTAAATATTTATTTCAAAATAAGACAGACAACTACAAACACCAAGTTGACGATAAAAACCATGAAAACCATAAATTTCACACCCAAGCCTCAACTCTTGCGGCCCGGAACCGGTCCATGACCCGGCGGTTGGGGACCGCTCTTCTAAAACATATGGTGCATGCATGTATATAAAATCGTGACTGTACAAAAGGAAGGCACAAATTTCTAAGTCAGAAAATATCTGAAAATATCTGTTCCTAAAGGACTCTCACAGAAGTAGAGCACATGTACTCATAAATGGGGGAAAGGACAATGTCATTGGTCAACACCATATCTAAGACTTGAAAGGACAGTAGATGTAAGTAGGAAATGTGAGAACAAAGAGCTGGGGAACGGCATACGGCGAACTGTCTCCTTTTTGGAATCCCCACCACCACCACCGCAGGGTTATCAGCTCATACATAAAGATGCATGAGCAGGACTGGAGGTCCAAGAGCAAGTGAACAAAAGAAACTCGGGTGCAAGGATGGAAATGTTTGCAAGCATTTGAGTTCAGAAGACTATTAAACTGAGTGCAGACGTTTAAGGGAGAGCATTGTCTGAACAGGAAACGTACAAATGATGCTCTTAAACTGAATGACCGCACGCTTGATATTAAAATAACCTCAGTCACAAGAAAATTGTTAGATTCTACCCAATCTTGTTGAACTGCTTCTCTGGGATTTTTCAAGCTGCAAGAATACGTTTTTACAGACACACTACAGCAAAGAAACAAAACAACAAAACGGGACGTGGTAAAAATGACTCACCCCAGCCCAGGAGGTAGTACCAGTGCAGGTGCTGCTCCTCTGCAAACACCGCCACCACGATGAGCGTGTGCAGGTAGATGCCTTCACAGAGCATCCAGAAGTAATTACAGCCCAACATGTACATGTGAAAGAACTGCAACACCTTACAGCCAACCTACAGGGAGAACAAAATCAATCATATCAACCTTTTTCCTGCTTTGCAGTCTTTTTTTTGAATGAGATGATCCAGTTGAAACAGTCGTGACATCATCTCAGCAGGAGACATAAAAAAGATTTAATGGGATGTTTCAGCACTCGTGGCACAAAATCATTAGCCAGTATTATTCTTTTTCATACTGAGAGGATGTTTATTCATTTACCCCCGTTGGTGGTGGGTTAAGTTGGGAATCATGATTTCTCTTTGTATTTGGAGCCCTCTTTGATTGTGTTCGTCTCACAAAGCAGTGGGATCAAAGCCCCGCTCCACATTAGTGTTTTATAAAGAGCTGTGCAATTTTCTATTTATGCATCCACCATAAAGCGACATCATGTCTCGTTATTTTTTCAGTTCCTTTTATTGAGAATTGAGACGTTATGATAAGAGATGATGACTTGATGACACATTCTTGGTATGTCCGTTTAAAAAAAGAAACAAAACAGTTGATTAATGCCATAATTATCAAGAGTATCTGGTGCAGTGCCATCAGTTATAATTCCTCTAATTAATGCCAGACAGGCACCAATAAACCTGCCTGTGTTCAGAATCTACTAAAAAAAGAAAAGAAAAAAATCTCACAAACTTTTCTCCTAAAATAAGTTAACTTCCACAACATTTGTCATTACCGAATCTCAGGAGATTCGTTAAGGAAGCATGTTTTTGGATGGGAATCTCTGCCAGTCACATCAGCTTTCATGGCTTTTCCCCACTCATCCAAACACAGATTGCTTCCACTTCCCTTGCGCCCAAGTTTGGATTATGTGGTTCTAGCAAAAGCCAAAATGGCACCAATTGTGCATTCATCCAGAGGGTAATGGGTAATTTCACAAATTGCAACTACCAATGCAATATATTAGTGCTTCTCTACAGTCTAAGATACTATTTATAAAAACTATTGAGCATCTACCTATTTTCTTCCACTTATCCTATTCTGTGCTGTTTGGGGGAGAGAGTGGGGGTCCTTTATGGGTTTATGGGTTCAGTCACTCATTTCATATGGCATAAAAATGTCTTTTTTCTTCACATTCATGCTTCTTAAAGCAGGATTATCAGCGGTATGCTCCCTGACTAACAACTTGTGATTGACAAGTCATTAGCCAATGAGTGAACAGTTTTACGGTCAGACCCACCGCTCCTTGTCACATCTATTTTGTAAAAATGTATTTATACAGTTTTAACAGCAAGAAACTAGTCACAAAGTGCTTTACAGAGACACCAAAAACAAGCTCCAAATGAAGACACAAGAACCAACAAAAACAGATGAGTTTTAAACTGTTTTTTTAAAGGATGCCACAAAGTCAAGGGTGCGAAGAGAGGGTGGTGAGCTGTTCCACAGTTTTGGTGTGGTAACGTTGGGAATACACAGTCTCCCCACTTGTTTCCAGACAAATACGTGGAATCACAAGAAGACCTCCATCTGCAGGCCTAAGGATCCAGCTTGGAGAATTGGGGTGAAGCACACTGATGATAATTGAGGGCTTCACCTCATAAAGAACCAAGATTTTAAACTGATACCTAAACCTAACTGGAAAGGAAAATAGCATTTTCTCACAAAGCCCCTTGAACATGGAATAATTAACAGACTGACCCAAGTTTAAACAGGCCTCCATCTGTCGGTGAATTTAAAAACATGATAATGAATGCAGTGAAGGAGACCTGTGGATGTGTCTTATAAAAATCCAGTTAAAATTTTAATTTTAATGTGTATTGTTTGTGTCTTTTGTAAAAGAGACTGTGATCTCAGTGGGACGTTATGGTATAATAAAGGTAATAATAATAAGAATAATAATTAATGAGAGTGAGTTAAAAACTTTTTGTCTTTTTTACATCTTGGAGCGGATTAATATTTCCTTTAGACAACAAGAAAATAGAGAATTACAATAGTAATAAAGCTGACAAAAGCAAAAACACTAATCTCGAGGCTTAAAGCAGGAAACCACCGTATCTATTAGGGGTGCAACGATACTCGTATCGATATTGAACCGTTCGATACAGTGCTTTCGGTTCGGTACGCATATGTATCGAACAATACAACATTTTTAATTTATTTTATCAACTTTTCTTCTGACGATGCTGTCTGTGTTGAGCGCTCAGTGGATCTGCGCTCGACAGTGCAGCCTAGGCGGAGTAGTCGAACGCAGATTCACTGAGCGCAGGGCAAGCTAGCGAGACATAAGTTAAGCTCTTGTTGCAAAATGGTAAATTGAACCTCCCCCACCCTCATTCAGATCTGGCGTTTGGAACTATTTTGGTTTTCATGTGACGTATGACCCTGAAGGTAAGTGCGTCATGGACAAAAGTAAAACAGTATGTCGGATGTGCCACGCAATGCTCAATTACATTGGTAGGAACTACTGCATTAGCGCAGTTAGCTCGTTAACGTGTTGGCCGTCCAGCCCCACACACGGGGCGATCTGTGGTAGCTCGTTAACAGAGATTTGCCGTGTTATGGCGTTAAAATAATTTCAATGAGATTAACGCCGACAGCACTAGTGGGAACACAACGAATATGACTGCACATTTACTCTGACATCATTCTAGTGCAAAGACAAGTGGAAGCAGACAAAAACAACAAGCACACATGCTACAAACTTTACCCGAGTCATTTAGACAGCTGTTAGCACATGATTCTCCTTATGGGGACCTGATATGTTTAATATGCTGCTGAGAATATAGCCCAGAAGAAGCGTATAGTATAGCTTTTATTTTGGAAAGAGCCATTTCTCTGTAATAAACTCTCTTTTCCAAAGATGAGTGATTCCTCAATCAGATTAATTTTTTTATTAATTACTTTGTTGTTTCAGCAACATTAAATTTAAAAACTGTACTTTTGAATTAAAATATATATTTATAATTTTAATAAATGACAAATTAAAAAGGCATGAACATTTTTTTGTATCGAAAAAGTATCGAACCGTGAATTTTGTGTATCGTTGCACCCCTAGTATCTATGTCCACCTCTTATGCTGTCCATGACTTGAATATGTATGTGCGATCTCTAACTGCAAACAAACAGGGATGAAGACAGATGTTTAATAAAAAGTTGTTTTTCACTGTGTAATAATTACAGTTGCAGATTGTTTCAAATTAATCAGCCAGACGATTGCTCTGCTCTTCAGGCCACTTGCTGAAGCGTTTCTTGAGCTGTTGCTCATTACCGCTATCACACTCACCTCTGTAAATTATATAAAAAGGTTGGTTGGTTATCACTCGCATCAGCAAAGCTGTGTTTTCATTATGCTCTCATATCCTGAAATCCCTAAAAGATTTGTATGGAAAAACCTAGACAGATGAATTCCTTCCTAGGAATATATATTTATTTTAATATTCACATTGGGGTTTCTGGTTTGTAGTCCTGCGGTGAAAGAGCATGTGTGCAGCCGCAGTATAATTCAGAGATGCTGGCATTGCTATTAACTGCTCTCTGAGGTCCTCTTAGCTCAAAACACACAACAGTTGTTCACTTTGAAACTCTTCGCCATATTTTTTCTCCCTTCCTTTCATACGTTTCCCTTTCCACTTCACTATAACAGACAGCCGCTGCTGTCAGTATCTGCGAGTTAAGGGCGCATAGTTTTCACTAATTCAGGTCTGCAGTTAACCAAGGTTTGTCTTAAGTTACTAACAATGTTCTGGTTAACAAATCAAGCTGCTATAGATCATGTACGTGTTTGTCATGTTTTCAGCCTCCTCCTTGGTTTGACATAAGCTTTGGGGATTCACTCCCACATAATGCTGGCAGGCCAAACCAGACTCTATTACCACTCCAGAGAGACAACAAAGAGCTTGTTTTCTCCTAGAGTGCAAATCTCTACTGCAATCCACCGTTCCTAAATCACCAGCACTGAAAACATGCTCATAAGTTTCACTCTGGCATCAGTAAATTTCAGAAATGTTTCCTCACAGACGCGCACGGGTCCCAACCAGAGGCGCTTGTGCGCTCTCTGTCTGCTCCCGCCTCGAGAACCAAGGCCACGGTAACTAATTTTATTTTGACATGCTGCAGCAAGTTAGCACAACTTGACCGTACTACATCAGAAAGTAACAGATTCAACACAAACCTTTTGACAAATGATGACAAGGGGGAGATTTGAAAGGGGGCCACCGCACAAATACACGTTTCCTCACGTTGATTATGACGGCTGTCATTTCTGTCTGCATCTTGGATACGTTCAGCTCAGCCTGAGCCAGACAGATTCATTGAACGGGGGGAAAGCAGGACTTAGAAACAAACTAAAACCCAGCTGAAGCCTCTGCTGCGTCCTTGATGTTTCCAGTGCTTTGTCAGGCAAGCGATACTCCAGCTGAAAGCAGGATATGGCTGATGCGATTGTGCGCAATGCGAGCCAAACTCTACAGTCCTATCTGCTGGGTTTTTTGCTGTATGGCACTTTGATCATCTAAAGTTCTTTTTTAAAATTATTTAAGACCGTTTTAAAAATATTACAGATTGCAAGGAGGGTGTTTATTTTTACAATCTTTTGTACGTTTTTTAAACAACATGTTGTCAGTATTTATTGACTTGGAGGGACTGAATGCGTTTGATTTTATGTGGCAGTAAAACAAAAAATATGATCCTTTTCTGGAGTTACTGAATCTCTGCAACAACAGCTTTTAAGAAGCAGCAAGCAGCAGCTTAACAAGCGTTTGTTATTTTGATTTCCACAAGTAACATACAAATTTATGCTCAGTCCTGATATCAAGGCATTCCCACAAGACAGATTTATTACCTCTACCTAAGCTGACCTCAGAATTTCAAACAATTCACAAAAGGCAAAAAGTTAAATGGAATAAAAAGAGAATCTAAGGCACTTGGAAAGAAAAGCAACTAGATTTCTTCTTGAAGACATTTCAGCTCTCATCTGAGAAGCTTCTGAAGAAGTGAAACGTCTTCAAGAAACTTAAAGAAGTCCAGTCACTTTTTTTTCCAAGCTATTTTGGATTCCCACGACCTGGATCACTGAGAACCTACACAGGGATAAAAATAGAGAAACAAAAACTGTACGTTGATTGTGTAGCAATTCCAGGATGTTGCAGAGCAGGATCTGTTTTAGAAAAACTCAACATCAAGAAACAGACCAGATCTCACTTTGTGTGTCCTGCACATCAACTACAATTAAAATAAAAAAAATGCTACCACAGTGTTCACATTTTTATTTGGCTTTGCATAAATTGAATGAAACTATAGATTATTATAAATGAATGAATTATAATTATATACATTATTATAATTGTAAACTAATTACTTAATAATTATATAATTTATAACATATGAATATGCTATAAATTAAATACAAATACATACATTTGCATGTTTTGTAACCAACTTGTCCCTCCTGCATGGTGTTTTTTTTTTCCTTTTCCTAACAAGCACTAGTGTCTTATAGTTCAGGTTTGTCAGTGGGTCAGTCAGCCATGTGATCTTGGTTATATGGACAATGAAATACATGGAAAACAAAAATCTAATAATGCTATATAAAGTATTCAAAAGTATTTTTCGATTATAGCTAAAGACTTATTATTATTATCTTAACACGCTAAACTAAAGACAGTGCAGTCAATGTTAAATCTAGCAGGAGGGGCCTAGCACTGGAACTGAGGATTTGAGTGTGCTACCGTTAGCATTTAGCAAATGTCACGTAGCTGCTTCCAGGACCTCCAGATGTCCTAATTCACAAGAATCAGTTTATTTAAAAGTACTTAGCACTTACTGAACTGAAGCGTGTCCAAAAAATATTGAATGAGCCGCTGGTTACAGGAACTGAAATTGTTTTCCTTGAGTTAGAGCCATTCACTGTGACTCTGGGTTGATGTTCACTGTGCAGTGCATTCATACTGTACATAAATGATTTTCCATCATGGTCCTTACGTCATAGATTCGTTAATAGAATTATATCTTTAAGCATGTTGGCATTATGTAGTTTTGAAATTGGGGTGGATCTGAGTCTGCACTGGTAGAGCACACAGTAGCAGCCTGTAAACCAAGGTAGGCACACCATAAAGCTTAACCTGCTTTATCATTCTTTTTTACTCGAATGGGAGCACGATTTACAAAGGGAACACCATGCTGATTTAAATAAGAATTGAGAATAGTGATCATGACCATAAACTCATCAGGGAAACTTTTCATTTGCAGTCATAAGTCAAGTGAGCAACAGGGGCGTTTCCAATAAACTTCTGCACAGTCTGCAACCAGAGGAGTCCCTGCATTAAGACATAAGACAGGCTTTCCCTTCCCTTTTCAGACTGAAAGAGTAAATGATTCACTTTACAGGTAGAGTTCAGGTAATAAATGTGTCACTGTTACAGGTTGTTGGTCATCAAAGTTGAAGCCTGGGAAATCATGACCCTCTCATGCAAACCACTCTAATAGTCACTCTTTTATGATTTTGTGTGTTGGGGAAATCTTTTGAAATAAATGTTGAAGGTGTTCAGGTGACTTTGTGCTGTAAGTATAGCTATCTGAGGAATAAGGTCCTGTCATACAGGTTTAGAGACCAGTTGGCAACCTGGGGCAACCTCCGGTCATTAGGGGAAAAGTGAATTATAAAACCAGTTGGTTGCTGGCCATCGCCTGATGAACTCAGTCGCAAAGAAGGTGCTGCACCAAAAACCTTGTCATTGCTTTGGTCACTAGCAGGTGACAGCTACCAGTAGTTTACATGGAAGTCGCGGTAAATACATAAGAGAGGATCTACTCACCGGATTTCTGGCCACCACTTCAGGATTGTTGACAACGGCAATGAGGTGGATGAGGGTAAGGGCAGAATTGAGCACGAAGGAGCAGAAGAGGTTCTTGTGGAGGGTGATCCTTTGGCAGCTCAGACTCCTGCGTGCAAGGATTAATTAAAATGCTGATAATACTGTTCACAAATGTGGAATAAAACCTTTTCAGTCACACACAACATCAAAGAACACAAAAACTTGGTGCAACCGATGACACGCACAGGAAAGAGAAGTGACTAGCAGGCTGATAGTTTAATGAGATGTGAAGTGTCACATAATTGTTATCTTTCATCTCAAACGGATTTTTTTTTTGCAGCTGTCAAAGAAAAAAAAGTGTGGATCAATGAGCTGGATTGTCTCTAAATGGCCTGAACAAGCTAGAAGTGCTGTTAAATAATGCATAATGGATCCCAAGGGTGCATTCACATTAGCTTGACTGGCCACTCAGGATTAATAGCGTAATAAAATGCATTACGGGCAAAGTGAAAACAACTATTAGAATCAAAGTCACTCATATCAGTATTATTATTATTGCTTTTGATGGGGTTTTTTTCTTGACAGCAATCAAACAGACTGCATTTCAGAGCTGAATGGAGTCCTGTAGCAAATTGCTTTTTTACAGAACATACCCTCCATTAAATACCCATTTTACAGTTAAATAAGTTGTATCCATATACCTCTCATGGCCAATTTTATCTTTGATGACTCATAAATCCCCCTGAGACCAATGAAAGCACTAAATGTCCTGAAAAATAGCATAGGGCAGCACATTTTCACAGCGGCCATGTAAAAATATTCAGGCATTTTTCTTTCTCCAGTTCCTGACAAAAAAGGAAATGTAGGAATTGTTCATTATTTATGTAAGTTTTATTTATACAGTACAGCCCATTTCATTACACGTAAACCCAATTTTCTTCCCATAAAATTTTTTTTTAAAAACGATGTAGTTTATATAGGGAGGACTTATCAAAAATGGGGCCATGGCAGCATCGTTCAACTGTAACAGGTCCCAATGTATCTGTCAGAATTTCCACCAGCCCCCATTTTTCCACAGAAAACTGGAGTATTTTTATCTGGGAATCCTGACAGCGTTGATGTAGAGTTGTAAATAACAGAGTAGCGACTATACAGCATCACATACCACTGTGAGCTTCACATCTGGATCTTATAATACAAAATCCAGTAATTTAAATGTTTTGGCAGTGAATATATTAAGTAATGGCTGCAAAGAGAGGAAAAAAAAGATAAGACGGTTTCAGCCAAACACCTTGTTATTTTATTGAAATCTTAATTTGTTAGGACTTTAATCTCGATGAACCTTGACTGGCCACTGAATTGCTCTGCAGCTGAAGAGTTTGACTCTCGGTGGGTCAGCGGGTTTTGTGATTATGCACCTGCCCCAAACTCAGCCTCTAGATTTATGAGTGCGTATAAAACTTTGCTGCACAATAACGGTCTCTTACAAGAACTGTTCTGGATAACAGCTGTGTTTAGGAGGTCAGCAGACTTCAGCACATCAAAATTTATAACTGCAACAATCGCCAACCACAGGGCCAACAAGCCAGTGTTTCTAAATATTGTTTCAGAATGTAAAAAGCGTCTTTTTTTTATTTGTCGCTGCTTCAGTTAAATGGAAAGCCTCAGTTCTTTTGAAATAACACTGATAAGCTCCTCACTTCCCAGAGAAACGTAAAGTTTCACAACTATTTTGTGGCACAATCATTAAAATATTATAGATTATTCACTGAATATTCAATTTCTTTCCCGCTAATCTGGTTTGTTATTCTTAACTCTTATCTAATTGAATTTCAGCTGAAGCACACTGCTTAACTTTGTATTCTCTTCCGCTGGGATTAAGCATCCGTATGGATGAACATCTATAATGAGCAATAAACTCAGGTGCAAAGCACCAACACATTCTGCTCAGAATTTTAACTATGCGCAAAAATCTGAAGATGTGTGAGAAAGTAAAGAAATTATTTACATATTCTAGAAGTAACCTTAATGACTCAGACAAACTAAGAAATAGGACAACTTAGTAGACTAGTATCACTTTACCTTACAATATAAATCCACATGAGGCTATAAAAATAAAACTGAATTGAATTGAAATATTGGTTTTCTGGTGATTGCAAAGACATTTTTTAGGCCAGAAACAAGCTGCAAATAGTTGCACTGACCAACTAGTTGTCTAGAGGCTGAGACTCTCAACCCCTGGGCAACCACCTTGGATCACAATGGGATTGCCAGAGTCATCAGGGTTGCCAGGTCTCCTGGTGGGAGTCTGACTCAGACCAAGTGCAACACTCTCAGATTGGTGAGTTGCTGCAAAAAAATGCTGATTTAAAAACACAGACAGATTGCCAACATGTCGTAATGAGTCTGAGTCAGTCTGTGCTGAGGAGTGCAACTCATCTGTGACATCTGTGTGTCTTTGCTATCCAGCTGCCAGTTGTTTTTATTCGGGTTATGTTCCTATGTAGATCCTGAGTGACGGCATCATTTTGCTGTTAAATCACCATCCTGTAGCAACTATGTCCCTAATCTGTTTCAGATTTATGAGGTTCTGGGTGGACCCTTAAGTAGCTAATGTAAATTTACAATTTCTGCCAGTTTATCACAGTGAATCACCATATTATCCCAAACAAATTGCATTTAATTGCCAATTTGACGCTACTCAATCACAAACTGATAGCATACTGACTCTGTTTTAATGCCACTTTATCAACATTTTGATGCAGCAAAGTCCCTTTGAAGATGGCAACTGACTGTGAGTGGTCCTCAAAGACAACAAGTTCATTATAGATAGTTCTAATAATTGTGGTTATGACACATCTCCAGCCACTGTTTTTCCTAGTATGACTATAGTGTAAGAGAAACTGCAGTGTTAATTGATACTTTGCATTAATTTATGACAGGGAATAATATTTTTATTACAGTCTGTCTCATATTTTGCTGACTCCAAATAAGGCAAAGACAAGAATCGTGCTAATAATGAGTAAGGACAACATCACTGTGCCTGTCAGATCATGTCAGGTAAAGATGATGAGTCATTAAGGATGACAACACCACCTATTAATCATCATTGCGTCATCAAACTACAGTTGCATTCTCACAGCGCTGCAGTCTCACATGTAGGAAAGATTCATCACATTGAATCTTTTACCTGAAGTAGAAGAAGATGGCCAGAGAAATAAGCAGGGAGGCTATGGATAAAGCATGGCCCACGATGGCCATGTAAAACAGGATGTAGGCGGACTGTAAAGCAAAACAAAAAAACACAAAGATAGAGATACTGTGTATTACCAGACAAAAAGAACATGTTTTGTTATCGACAAGCTAACTTTCAGGTCTACCACAAAATTCAGCTGAATTAATTTGATGGTTTTTACTTTTAGGACAAAACGCTCAACAAGAAATGTTGTTGCACTTTCACAATCCTGAACCCGATTTCCAATACTGATATTTTCAATGATAACTTTAGTTAGTTTGAGTAAAAAGGTAAACAGGAGAAGGAAAACCATTCTCGTTATTTTCTAAACTAATGCTGTTAGCTTTGAAGTTTATTCATGTTTATTCATTATAACTTTCTCACACAGGCTTAGAGATGGGTTAGCAACTGCCTGCCAATCACTTGCCTATAAGTGAATATTCCCCAAATAGCTGGCAATCGGTTTTCGGTGGTTGTTTTCTGTTGCTAAGTGAAAGTAGTCTCAAAGGGATCCCTTGTAATTGCTTTGGTCACTAGAAGACTGCAACAGCTGCCTGTCGTTTGTAGGTAAGACTCTGGGGCAGCAAACTCTTTGCAAGCGATTTCACACCGCAGCCTCCAGTAACCACCTTCCAACTAGTCGGGGAACGCCTAGTGACCAAATTTGAGAGGGCGCAATCTACTTCTCCGAGAAGTCAGAAGTTAATCAAGCATAACGTTCAATATGTTTGTGTTCAGGAATGCAAGTAAATAAATGAAATTTGGCACCTTAATCTAAAAATAATAATGTGCTTTACTATTTAGTCTGCTTTTTTGTAAAACAATAATTATATTTTAGCATTTGCAGCATAATTTCAATTAAGGAGCTTACGTATACTGGTGGATTAGCAATTACCAAAGCATAAAAATGACTTTCTAATTACTAGTCATCTTAATTTAGGGCAGCTAATACATAGACCTTACATTGGGTCTGATACATTTGTTAAGCGCCGTGTAGGAAGAGGTAACTTTACACCATTCGATTCCATGTGTTCCCAGTGAGGATTATAATTTGTCAAACAATAAAACATAATGGACCACAGCTGTGCAGCCCAATCGAACAACAATAAATTTGAACATTTTAACCCCCCTGTGATCAAACACACATGTAACAGAGATAAACAAAACCTGACTTTTCTACTTTTCCCACAAATATGAATCTTTAAAAAAAAAATTCAAGTAAGAAATTAACTGGAGCTGACAGAGGAATGTTTGAATCAAGATAAAATATTATTTGAATGACCGAAGCAGGTAGAGGTATCAATCAGTCAGTTATGATTAGTGCTGCAAACATTTTCTATCTCTGGCACAATTTAATCCCCAGGTCTAACTCTAACACCATGCTGATGAGATTCTGTTCACTGTACAGCCAAAATATCCATTAGTAAACAAAACAAATTGCAATGACAACAAAATTGAAACGGCTTTTGGGAGATTATGAATGATCAAGGTCAACAAATCCAGAAAGATTCCAGATCCAAATTTAAAGCCAGCTGCTGAACATTTTTGCGCAAACACAAATGGTTTGGCATAAGAGTTGATAATAACATGCTTGCCCATAAAAGAGGCACAGTCACTACTAATTAAAACATTTCCAAAATGTTTTACTAAAGTTCAAACAGTCCATCTGGGTGTTTGTATTCCCAGTGAGAGTTCGGTGATGCTCTGGTCTGGTTTTCATGTGGAAAATGTTGTTAAAGGCTTCATTTTGTAGCCGTGGGCTGTTGGTGATGAGAAGGTTGTTAATATGTGAAGATGTCGTCGTAACACTATTACTAAGGAGACTTCCTGTGACTGTATAGCCTGTGGCACAGGCTATTGGGAAGCATTTATTAGAAGCAAGCTTCCAATAAATGCAAACTCTGTTTGTTCAGTCAAACAAAACCTACTTTGTCTGGACTTGGCCCCATGAGATAAGACCATTAAATGTACAAATTCTAACTGTAAGCAGGTAATAATGTAATTTTAAGCCTTCCTGCCTGTCATGTAAACAAATGCATCAAACTCATGCGTGGTCTGAAATGTCAGTTATGCTATTTTAGATCAGTATCACACCAGTATGGGAGAGTTATGAATCTTGGTAGTGCAGAGCCCCTGGCACAAAGGAAACTATTATGCTGACCCATCACACTGTGGCCACAATGCAGCAGATTAATGATAGCAGAATAGTTTAAAATTTGAAATAAATTACCTTCAGCTTGGCATTGGTGTTTTCATTGCAGAGTGTGTAGTTAGACCAAGTTCTGTTGGTGTCCGGGTGACGAAACCACTGCCCGTCCTCTCCACAATACTTTGTTGCTTTTTCTGAACATATCGGTCATGAACTAAGTTAATCGCTTCAAATCAAAAGAACTTGAAAGAAGCTCAATGCTTCAGTCTCGCTGCTTACCCGTAGGGTCGAAGTCATGAAAATAATTAGGGCAGTTTTGGAAAGTGTAAGTTCCCGCTGGAGTGTCGTCCCAGCACAGCCAGCCATCCCAGTTGCGACTGCAGTACAAACCTATAACATCGACGCAGTGTGATGACACTTAAACATTAAGAGGGGAGTAGAGAACCCCAGATTTTCATTTCATTTGATATTCTTGTTACCTGATTTGTTATAAGGCGGATCTCGATTCATTTTCTCGAAGCATTTGTACTGGTTGTCGAGGATTTTTTTCCTCACTATTTCCTGCTGCTCCCGATTAGCCGTGGGACTGACCGTGGCCTCGTCGGCACCGTTGACCTCAGTGTCCCTGGAAAACTGGGCGGCTGCCTTGATTTTAGTGAAGTTTAATATCACACATACACACACAGAGTCATGCTCAGTTAAACTAAACAATGACCAAGGAGAAAAACGGTATGGAATAATTGCACATTATTGTTACATTACCTTTAACTGGTCTTTAGTGTTGATGGCACAGAGTGTATAGTTGGTCCATGTCTTGTTGCTCTCTGGGTGGCGAAACCACTGCCCATCCTCTCTGCAGTACCTGGATGCCCTTTCTAAAAAGAATGCTTATGTATAAA